ATTGGTTTTCAAATAACGACTCAACTGTTTGACTTGATGCAGTATAATTTTTGAAACTAACATCTGTTTTTCCACACTTAATTTTCAAAGTGTTAAGTTCTTCAGTTATAGGAGCAAGTTGTCTCTTAATATAGTCATAATTTTCACACTTGTTTCTATACTCTTCCTGAAGCTTCCTAAAGTCTTTAGTTTTTGCTTCTAATTCAGCCTTCAGGGGTTTCTGCCCTTTCCTAAGTTGATATCCTTCGTATTTTAGGTCCTCGACTTCCCTTTTTAGCAAATCATTATGTTCACGGAGAAGTTTAATCGTAGCTTCACATGATTGAGAGCATGAAACTTCATTGACCGGGATGTTTGCGGAACTAATTGTCTTTTCACACCTCAAAGCGTCAAGTTCTTCAATTACAGCAGCAAGACTAAGATGATTGAGATCTTTTGTCTTCTTGATGATAGCTACGTTCATATCCCACGATTTCGAAAGTGAATTCAGTAGCTTTTTGTTTATCTCAAACTTAGGCAAGAAGATCCCAACTATATTCATCTCAGTAGTAAGTGTAGTAAATCGCTGCAACTGAGTTTCGAGGGTTTCTCCGGGGATATAATCGAAAATGTTGAAATTTTGTCTTAACATATACTGGCGACTCTCTTTCATGTTTTCAACTCCCTCGTAGACCTTAAAAGCCATTAAAAAGCACAACCAGAAGCCATAATCAAACTTAAAAGTCAAACCCTTTGATTATAAACCTCAAAAGTCAACCTTAAAAGTCAAATTTAAATATTTAAACTCAAAAGTCAAACTTAAAAGTCAAACCGAAAAGCTAAATTTGAAAATTTAAAAGTTAAACGAATAAGTCAACGTTTAAAGTCAAAGGTCAAACTTGAAAGTCAAAGTCAAAATTTAAGGTCAAAAGTTAAAAAAAATAAAAGTCAAAAATCAAAATATAAATTTATTTATTAATTTTTGTTAATTATAATCATTATTATTATTATTTTTATATATATTTTTTATTTTGGATGAAAAGGAATAAAAAAAAATAAAAAAATAAAAAAATAAAAAAATAAAAAAAAACTGAATTTTGGGTTAAAAGTGTCAAATTTTGAAAGTTGAAACCGAGAATAACGGGTTATGAATTAAATTTCGAAAGATTGTAACAAGGGATCAGGTAGACGGGTTGGATAAGTCACTGATTTGTTGAGCTGGAGGTTGCGGGTTCTATTCCCAGCACCCACGAAATTGTGACCCTTTTTTTTAATTAAACGTTGTGCGAGGCTGCTTCTTGCGAGGCCGGAAACACTACTGGGACGCAAACTCAGACCGTAAACTCCGGACTGTGAACCTCGGGTCGTGACTACGCCTATCGAAAAAACCCGAAACCCATTCTACCCACCTGATCCATTCCGAATTCGGGTAGAATGGGTCGGGTAGAACGGGTAACGGGTATGAACATTCGGGTAATAGGTTAACCCGATAATAATATAGGTCGGGTTTTAAGTATGAATATTTATTTTCGGGTATACCCGAATTCGTTTTTTAAATAATACCAAATATACAATGCAATCACGTACGCACACTTCAAATAAAACAAAACTCTTCGTTTCCTTCTTATGAACGATGGCTCGACAGTCAACGCAAACTTGCAAAGGGAATACGACACTGAAGCTGAAGTCCTGAACCGTCATCACAATTCTCAGTTTCTCTCTATCGCACGTAATGGAATTAAAAAAGTACATAACATATTATAATGATTTTTATTGTTATTATAGACGTACTTGTTAATTGTATGAAGTATTTTCCTACCCAATACTTTATTAAACCAACCAACATGTAAAAAATATATCAATAAGTGTAATTTAAGAAATTTTCGGGTATACCCGATAATTACCCGACCCGACCTCAAACCCGAATACCCGAATACCTGAAACCTGAAAACCCGAATTATAATATAGGTCGGGTATCGGGTAATATTTTCTTAAGGAAATACCCATTCTACCCAAAAATTTTACCCGTTCGACACCCCTATCGTGAACTCTGAAACCCTAGCCGCCAGCCACAAACTCCGCCACCCCCTTGCAGGTTTCGACCAAAACAGTGATTTTTGCCCTTTTTTGCTCCAAACTCAATCAAAAACCCGTTTTTATGAAAAACGCAAAGAACACCCCCCCCCCCCCTAATTTTCAGAGATCTATCCAAAAACACAAAAATCCGAAAACCCGAATTATAATATAGGTCGGGTATTGGGTATTATTTTCTTAAGGAAATACCCATTCTACCCGACCCGTTCTACCCGAAAATTTTACCCGTTCGACACCCCTACCGTGAACTCTGAAACCCTAGCTGCCGGCCACAAACTCTGCCACCGCTTTGCAGGTTTCGACCAAAACAGTGATTTTTTCCCTTTTTTGCTCCAAACTCAATTAAAAACCCGTTTTTATGAAAAACGCAAAGAACAACCCCCCCCCCCCCCCCCTAATTTTCAGAGATCTAGCCAAAAACGCAAAAATCTTTCGAAAATGAGATCAAATAATGCTCCAGATCTGACAAAATTGACTGATATAATCCAAGCTTTGATGTCACACCCCGACCATCGGCGGAAACACCGGGTAGTGTAACGTTATTTTTCGTATCACAGTTATATAACATACATTGAACAATACTCAAAGCAAATACATACCTTTATTGATGATTGAAAGTTACAATATTGTTTTCCGAGTATTTATTACATAATATCCGACTATGACATACTTCTTAATAAACAGAAAGATAATAGTAAAACTTCTCCTATTCGAATACATATTAGCTTTTCAAGTTTCTGAAAATACATGCATTTTAAAATAGGTCAACATAAAGTTGGTAAGTCCACAGGTTTTGACTCCATAAAAGAATACATTTTTACACATTCAAATGTATACTATTGAAAGTATCATTTTGACTCTCCAACATTAAGTATAATAGTATACTTATCAATTAAGTGTTATACCTAAACATTTCTTAATCTTAAGGTATAAGTAGGGGAAAACTTATACTTAACATTAATACTTGTATACGACAAGGTATAATATTTCTAACAATTTGCTACCATGAGCATGTAACCGCTGCTATGACATAATACCTCTGATAGAACAATACACTCATGATTTACCATGAGAACAAATACACTCATGATTTAACATGATAAACAACACCGTACGCTTCATCGACGCCGAAATAATAACAAATAAAAGGATAGTTCATCGCTTGCTTTTGGTTGACTGTAGCTAGCAGTCACAAGTGGGATGGTCAGCTCATATACTAATTATACACGACTTCCTCGCTCACACAGGATTAACGGTTACAGTTCAGAGGATTTCCGCTAAGATCCCCAATCTTAGTTGATGAATACAATTACTCAAGTAGACTTTGACGGCTTCCTATAGCTCTAACAACAAAAACATCTTCATGTCTAAAACCTTAAGTTACTAGACTATGCTTTTAAACATTACTCCTAACTTCATAATATTTAGGCAGTATAACAGCTATATTTTGAAGTAAAACCAAGTTTTATCTTGACCTAAAACCAATAATAACAACATATAACGTTTCTAGTTTTATCTTGACATAAAAATAATAATAACAACACATAACATATCCACTTTTATCTTGACATAAAACTAATAATAACAACATATAATGTTTCTAGTTTTATCTTGACATAAAACTAATAATAACAACATATAACATATCCAATTTTATCTTGTCATAAAACTAATAATAACAACATATAACATATCCAGTTTTATCTTGGCATAAAACTATTGATAGCAACATACTATATAACTTAACATTTAGAACTTTCGAATATTACTTCGGTATTATATCGCACACAACATATATGTAGAATCCTAAGTATAACTCAACATCTACATTAGTAACTTAACATATTGATAAGTTAATAATAGTTGTATGTATTCAAAATGTTATATTTAGAACAATCATATCTCGATTATCATAACTATATACTATCATATAAACATAATAATAGCATATATACAATAACTAGCATGCGTTTTCCCTCGAAATATTAGAAAGTGGGGCCGTGAAACTCACCCTAGTAGCGTGATTTTATGTTATCTAAGCAAAACGGTCAGCGTGCGAGATCATCGGGGCTTGGGATGCAGAATGGCCTCAGAAAATGATAGAAAGGGAAGACGTTTTGGTGAAGGAATGGCTGAAGTCAGACCTTCTATTTATAGTAAGATTTTTAGAAACTCACGTCGTGAGTCTTGCATGATCACCCCGTAGACTTGCCATTTGCGTCCTTAGCTTCGGAAGGTGGCCATGTGACTCCTCACGTCGTGAAAAACACCTTGTTCACGTCGTGAGTTTGGATCCTATCCCCTCGCAGCCTCGTCACACCTTCCAGATTCCGAAATGTGGCAAAATGACTCCTCACGTCGTAAGTGTCATAAGGCTCACGTCGTGAATTTAGTTAGCTTAGGGTTTCTGAAAGCTGAATCTTCGGAAGGCCATAACTTTTGCATACGAACTCCGTTTTTGACGTTCTTTATATGCACGCGTAGGTACTTACGAGTACTACAACTCTTTTTTAGACTTAAATAGCTAATTCTAAGTCTATTTTAAATTCCTCTTATTATAGAGATTTATAGTGTTCGGTTTATCATAACTTCTTCATGCGAAGTCAGATTCAGATGTTCTCTATATTTTTGGAATTGTATGGATGTATACTTTGATTTGTATCATAAAGAAAGTCCATATTTATATTAGAATTTATCATGAAATACATAGCACATTTATCACATTACATGATTAGCATAATCACATGTGATTGTTATTGACCTATTTTGGCTAGTGTTACATTCTCCCCCCATTAGAAAATTTTCGTCCCGAAATTTATCTTGTGGATATGGTTTTGTCAAACAGTTGGGGGTATTTTTCTTTCATCTGATTTTCACGTTCCCAAGTAAATTCAGGTCCTTGCAAAGAGTTCCATCGAACTTTCACTATGGGAATACGACATTCACTATGGGGACCGAACGCATCAAAATGCGAAGACGGGATCGATTTGATCAGTGACATGCCGGATTTTATTCTTCTATTGATTCTTTCAGGTCTTCGATTGACCAAAGAAGTAATTCAAACCATCATTTTGTCCAGAAGATTGAGGTATTTGTGGACTTCAATTCCCTCTCTAGACATATTTTATCGCCAAGATAAATTAAAAGAAGACACATTCAAAGAGTTTGTGTACTGGGTTTTAGCAAATAGATCCTTCGATTTGGATCGTTTTCGTTTAAGCTGCTATTATCACTACACAAGGTCGAAATTAGGGCGGTGGATTCACATGGCTGTTACAAGAAACATCAAAAAGCTTGACTTGATGTTTTGCCCTAAGAAGGAGTCCGAGGATATCAAGGATATTGAGATGCCTCATTGTTTGGTGACTTGTCGTTCATTGAAGGTATTAAAGTTGTGTTTGTTTGAACATGGTTTAACATTGCCTAATTTTATAGGGTTTCCTGAACTTAGGGTTCTTGAGTTGTGCTATGTTGTGTTATCAGAAAAAGATTTAGAAAAAGAATTTATGTAAAGCTGCCCATTGCTTGAGGATTTGCATTTGGTAGACTGCATCATAAATAAACCTGGTCTTCTATGCATTTCATGTCTGAAGCTCAAGAAATTGAGAATTGATAACGAGGACTTTGGAGTTAGCCACAACAATTTCTGCCTTCACCATTGTTGAACTCATTCAAGTTCTGAAATATTATCCAAAACTGGAGTCTCTTAAGTTGTTCATCAAACAGGTATTCTTATATCAAATAGCATTTTTTTTATGTATCACATTCTTAGAGCATGTTGGCTCACTTTCAAGAACTTAAAACATTAGTTTGGATTTTTGGTCCCTAACATGAAAAACTTATGGTTTTGTTTGATATGATCTAGGATTTTTGTGGGCCGGAATATCGGGAGTTGGATGAGACTGAAACACGGAGGATCGTGGCTCCTGTTGTGAAGTGAGTTGAGCTATTTGAATATAAAGGAGAAAAGCCAAAAGTAGATATACAATGGTATCTAAATGCATGGATAGAAATGTTTGCTAGGTGGGGTCAAGAAACCAAGTTCTCTCATTGGTGATTATTAAGCTAACTGTCAAACTGACTAACTAATCTTTTGAAGAACTCAAATTACAAGCTTTATGTTGCTTCATTTTCCACTATTACTAGAAAATATTTGTTTGGTTCTATAGTTTTGTTCATTGTTTGCTATAAAAACTACAATAATATTTAGGTGTAACTAAAAAGTAAAAACAAGCATCTAACCACAACACCAATTGTAATATAGTATGTACAAGCAAACACCTCATCATGCAATTGAACCAATTACAACGTTGATTGGTATGTAAGTATGACATGTATGTATGTGTATGTATGTATTTATGATTGGTATGTAAGTATGACATATATGTTATGTATCTATGCAATAGATGACAGATATGTTATGTATCTATGCAATAGCTATATATATATATATATATATATATATATATATATATATATATATATATATATATATATATTACATATATGTATGTATGATAGGTATGCATTTATGCATTGTATATATGTAGATATGTCATATATGTCACATTAACTTGCAAGTATGTCAGTTTTATCATGACACAAAATAGGCCATATTTCAAATCATGGATACTTGTGAGTTTTTTTAAAACAAAAATTACCTTACTATTCGAGATTATTCATCCCCAAATTTTGGTTGCAACAACTGATGGATTGAGTAAAATGTTCCATTTAAAAGGAAAACAAAGTTACACAAAATAAATCAATTAAACAAAGGTACATGCATACCTGACATGTAATCTAAGATCAATGGTACGTTCATTTTGCTCATACAACAAAGTTACACAAAATAAATCAATGCCTTCTTGCTATTTCCAATTCAATTTCAAAAACAGTATTTTATCCAAATTATATCTAATCAATTTGTATTTTATCTTATAAATTGATGACCCTCATAAAAGAAAATAAAAAGATATTAATATAGAAGTCAAGTCAGTATTGATAAACCATGAGATTGCATTTTGAAAATGTCGATAGAACATTAGAAGCTCATGTTAAGTGTATGTTATGAAGATCTTGATAAAGTAGTTCATTATCCTAGAAGGAATTTTTTGCTTAAATTTTGAAATTAAGGGGGATGTTTTACTGCAGTATATGATGATTAATCTTGTGCAAAATAGTATAATCGTATATATGTTTAAGGAGCAGTTGATGATAATGACCACTTATTCTTTGGAAAAAGAACGTTGAACTAAAATGATGTTTAGATTATAATCATTTGTAGTCCAAAACAGAAAATAACTAGCTTTTAGACGTCTGAAAATGAGTAAGATAATTAACATATACGCCAAATAATAAATTCAATAAAGAAAAGGGAAGGAAAATATTGACGGAAAGAAAGGGATGGGAATTGAAGGAAAAATTCATTATTCCGTGTTCCCGAGTTCGAAGGAAATGAAAGAAAAATTTTATGTTTTTGTATTCCCGAGTTAGGAGGGAAAAGAAAAGAAAACTAACAGATTGTCCTTCCCCTCACTTTTTTCCGGAATCCGTCCAATTTCGAAGGAAATTTTGATAGGAAAATCTGGCTTTAAAATCTTTTCCTCCCCTTCACTTTTCTTTTATCAATTAAACTCAGGAACACAATTTTCCTTCGACATCCCTCACATTCCCTCAATATCCATCAATATCCCTCCTAAGTAGATATCAGGAATAAGGAGATACTGAACAAAATAGATAAACGAAAGGTTGAATAAAATAGATAAACGGAAGGTTCTACATAATGGTTCATGTATATTAGACCTGAAAACACGAAAATGCCCATTTGTGCAAGGCTCATGGGACGCTTAAACGACAACCACTAACAACTAACGATGATAAAAACTAACCATGTAAGAAAATGGGTACCCAGATACAGTCGGCATCAATTATTAAATAAACAAATAAACAAATAAATGTTTTTTTACAATGCACAATGAATTTCACTATTTTGTAGATTAACTATGATATATATATATATATATATATATATATATATATATATATATATATATATATATATATGTAATGATGCTAAAACCTACGTTGTTTCATTTATAGAGAAACTACGATCGATAATCTATCCGCTTCTCTAAATTTCGATTCACATCACCAAAAGAAGAAAGGGCATGAAGAAATCCGAGCCACCAAAGGCAGTAAAATGCGAAGACGTGGTCGATTTGATCAGTAGCATGTTGGGTGATATTCTTGTTTCGATTCTTTCACATCTTCTGCACATCAAAGAAGGCCTCGTTTGATAGTTGTTGACTGAAAAAATACTTAATGGTAAAGGCCTCTCTGGGTAAGAAATGTGACTGAGTAAGAAACCATGTTTTTTTATTGTACATCTAACTAAAGAAAAATGATCATTTTACCCTGTGATGGATGAAGTTGTTGAGTAATTATAAAAACATACAGATTGTCATACAAAATGTAAATTACATACAAATCATTTAAAAATCCAAATAAAAATTGTCATACAAAATGTAAATTAAACATAAATCATTTAATATCCAAATAAAAACATAATGAAATTTAAAATAACATAATAATTTAATGTAAAGTAGGTGAAAATAGTTGATTTGCAATTTGATCACGCAAACACGCATATATTAAACGGCTAATGGACCCTATACGATGTTTTGTATGTTTTCTCTATCAATTCCTCCATCTATGACGTCAGGAGTAACCATAGTGTTCTCCTCCAAATTTAAACAAGTCATATTGTATATTGTATTTCCTTATAGAATTATGGACCGCAACACATGCAATGACTATGTCTCTTTGAACTGTAAAAGGATAAGGAGTCATTTGCTTTAAGATTGGGAATCTCGCCTTCAATACACCATAAGTACGCTCAATAACATTTATAAGTTGTGCATTAGCATGATTGAACCTTTCTTCTCTAGTTACAGGTTTGATTCTTCGAGAATCGGCTAAGCAATGCCTAGTATTGCGGTATGGAGCCATAAACCCGCGAGTGTTTGTATATGTGGCGTCACAAAGGTAATAATTATCTGCAAATTAGTGTGACATATATTATATAAAGAAGATAGATAATAAAAGTTATATAAATACTACAAACCTGGTGGAGGGAATGGAAAAGCAGAAGCTGGATTTGAATGCAACTTCTTTCAAATCTCTTGAATCATGTGTATACCCTCCCATCCATCCCAAACACGGGTGAATATCATATTAAAATCACAAATTCATATTAAATTTTGAAAACATTCACCTTTTCTTCTTCCTCTATAACAAGTTTGTTGTGTTAAGATTTATGGAGTCATGAACAAATTGACAAGTTCCAAAGAGTTTAAGGGCCATAAATGTAACTTAGCAATTAACAATTGAATTGAATCGTTGGAGGAACCTCACTCTCACCAACTCCATGTGCAGAAGGAAAATTTGTTTCGGCCGTAACAAGCAACATTAAATGCATGGGAATTATTTCAAGCTACGAATATTTTCAAGGAGGCTATTTACTTTCTTTGGCAGACAATTTACGTATGTCAAATGGTGGGTATGCACATTCACATTAGAGTGAATTATTGTTACGGCTCACAACATATATATAAATATATGTGTGTTGTAAGTAGAGATTAGATAGAGCACAACACAACGATCATATATACACATAAAAGAAATAGTGAGTTTGTATTTTATTTTCAACAGTTAAAATACGAGTGATATCTTACAGTGAGCGATCAGATTACAAGTGCAGTTTTAGCCTTGTATGATTGTAATTTTCTTTGGTGTTAAATAAAATCCCCTTTTTCTTGTTCGCCCGTGGATGTAGGTCAGATTAGACCGAACCAAGTTAAATACCGTGTTCAATTTTGTTTGTAATGTTTTGTAGTTTTTATTCTATGAGTGTTACCGAAATCGTTAAATATTTTTTTAGAAGTGCTTAACTTGTTTTGTTGCATTCCCAACAACTGGTATCAGAGTTATGGCTGAAGATGGGAAAGTTAAGATTAAAAAATTCGATGGTCAAGATTTCGGTTTCTGGAGAATGCAAATCGAAGATTATCTCTACCAAAAGAAGTTACACCAACCTTTGTCAAAAGACAAACTTGAAGCGATGATGCAGGAGGAGTGGGACTTATTAGATCGGCAGGCACTCTGAGTGATAAGGTTATCATTGGCAAAGAATGTAGCTTACAATATTGTCAATGTAAAGACAACCTACACTCTGATAAATGCGTTGTCTAATATGTATGAAAAACCTTCAGCGGCAAATAAGGTTTTCTTGATCCGGCAACTTGTAAATCTGAAGATGAAGAAGGGTAGCTCGGTGATAGACCATGTAAATGAATTCAACTCAATAATATCAAGATTGATATATGTTGATATTGGATTTAAAGATGAAGTCATGGCGTTGCTACTCTTATCATCGTTACCCGATACTTGGTCCAAAACAGTGAAGGCCGTTAGCAGTTCAGTCGGAGGTACCAAGCTATCATTTGAAGGTATTCGCGATTTAATCCTTGGTGAGGATGTGCGCAGAAGGAGTATCGGAGAAGCTTCCATTAGCCTTTTAACTACTGAAGGCAGAGGAAGAAAGACCAATAGAGGAGGTGGTGGTAGAGGAAGATCGAAGTCAAGCAAGAGAGGTCAGTTGAAGAACAGGAAAGATATTACCTGTTGGAACTGTAATGAGAAAGGTCATTTCAGAAATCAATGCCCAAAGCCTTCGGCAGACAAAGGAAAGAAGGAAGTAAATTTAGCAGCAGATTCTGAAGATGATGCGCTCATTTGTTGTGTCGAAAACTCAACTGAGTCCTGGATCATGGATTCTGGTGCGTCATTTCATGCTAGTCATTCTAGAGAAGTAATGCATAATTTTAAGCAGTACAAAGGGAAAGTCAGATTAGCAGATAACAAGAGTCTGGATATTACTTG